GCTTGTGAAGTGAAGTGGTGGCAAACTCTTCTCTGCATCTTGTGAAGTTATAGAGTAATGAAGTGTTTAATTTTTGCTGGTTGAGCTGCTCTGCAGTCACTGGAGAAAGAGTAGGAGAGAAAGTGACTCTAGCAGAGTGTGGTAGAGTAGCAGCATGCCCTCTCATTATGCTGGTAGGTGTAACAGCTTGCCTATACTGTTGCTGCTCCTCACTAGCTCTCATCATTAACGTGGTGGTAGCTGGCTCTCTATACCCATACATTCTAGGAGCAGTCTTGCTGTGGCTGTAACCACTGTCAAGATGACTGCAGCTTCCCATGTATGGCCTTTGTGGACTCATCTGTCCTCCTTCTTCACCAATGGAGCTGAGTCCTCCCATCATGCTAGTGTGCACAGTATGACTGCGTAATTTACCTCCAGTTATTCCTGGATTGTTAATGCGAATGAACTCATGATAGCCTGCACTGGTATTAGTGCTAGGAGACTGTGGCACTGGTGATGCTGCTAAAGGTAATTCCTTTAATTTCACGTCATCAGGTACTGGTGTTGTTGTTGTTGTTTTTGTTGCTTGTTCATTTTGTTGTTCGGCTTTCTCTGTATGAAACTGGCTCATGTTTACATAGTCATGTACAGCGTCAACACTTTCACTTTCACCCTCACCTAATCTGTCGCTTACAATATCACCAGCTCTCTCCCTCTCCTTTTCTTCTTCATGTAGTCTCTGAATCTCCACTTTTAATGTTTCATTTTCACCTATTTAAATTTGATTATCATAGTAATATTTATTTCTGATACCATCGTTTCCAAATTCTTTATCTTCTTCATCAGTTAACTCTTCTTGGCCTAATGTAATATTTTTACATGCACATACAAATTATGATTAATTACTTTCTAATTCTATAACTTGTGTATCTGCAGCTACTGATATTAATTTGATTATTTCTTCATTCCTTCCCTGTAATGCTAACTCCAGTACTTTGTCTCCATTATCATTTTCATAGTATGGATCAGCTCCCAATGACAGCAACAGTGACACTTCATAGACCTCACATAACTTCACTGCTTCAACTAATGACTTATCAAAGTTAAAATCATCTTTTTCATCAAGAAGAATCATGTCGTCATTTATTGAAAAATAAAATACACCAACTCGATGCATTGATTCAGACTTTGACTTGACAGCAGTGGTGATGTGAGCAATGGCAGAACATGGTACCAGATAACTGATACATACTGACCCATGTGTGATTTGAATGTGATTAAAAATGTCACTTTGGTTAAAGTAATGCCTTAGTAAAAACTCCAAATCACTTATCGTCTTCTCATCCCATCCTCCATTTAGCTTGATGACTACTTTACAAGCTGTATCAGAGGGAATAAAATTTTGCATGTATGCATTTCCAATAGCAAATTGTAGGTCTTTGAGACGTTTTGAATCCTTAAAATGACTCATCTTTTTGACGTATGCTTTCATTTCTCTTCGTAAAAATGTACCAGAGTGAGGCACAAATGGTAACCAATAAGTAATATACTCCATACATGATGATTTCTCAAAACATTCCTGAACAATAGCTTCTATCAATGAGCAATTAAGGTAAGAATAATGATCCAGAATGCGATTGAATAATCTGTCAATGGACACTTCATTTGTGAGACCACTAAGCTTTCGCTTTTCTTCTATGAATCTTGCAACATCAATGGTTTCCAGCTTTTGATGCTTAATTTTTTCTGCTAGATATGCACGGATTTTAGCAACAAGGGTTGCAAATGTAGATTCTAATTGGTGAAATTCTTCATAAACATTGGATTCAATGGTAGCTAGAATTATAGTCTTTTCATTCCTCCTTCTCAAACCAGACCATCCTGTAATGAAAAGTATAAATTATACACATACATGGCTATATGTTATAGAATCTACCTTCTGATTCAATAGCTTCAATGTTTCCCAAAATCTTATCAGCCACTGCTCTCAATCCCATCTCTTTTAAAGCAGTTGCCAATTTCTCCAGTGAAGGTTTACCATGAGTATCAACATCATAACTTTGGTGGAGCCAGATTTTTAAACATCCTCTAAGGCATCCTTTCACATCAAGAGGATTATCAGCTCTAACGGTATCAAGCTTTGGTGGATCAATCTGTAGCCTGAGCCCCAAGTCACTCCATCTACCCTCTGGAAAATCACTCCTTTCCAACGTACTAATGACTTTATTAAGATCTTTAATATCTGTTAACAGGAACTAGTAACACACACACACACGGCAAAGTAACAAAATACAAACCTAAAATCTTGCTTGGCTGACAATTCATTTCTCCTCGAGTGGCCATATCTTAAAGTGTGGGTAGTCAGGTAGTGACTGTTGGTATGTCAATGAATATCATTATAACAAAGGTTAGCAAATAAATATTATTAATCAAAAACAATAAGCAAATACACTGAGAGAAGATATACACACTATTCTTTTATTTATAATAAATATATATATACATGTACAGTATATGTATAGCAATGTTAATGATACTGTATGGAGTAAGGATTCTTCTCCATTGATGAAACATGACGTAACATATCCTTCTTTGTAACTATACCCAACAGACGACTAGAAATATAAAAAGAAGTATTAAAAATTAAAACTAGTACTAGTGTAGTGTTATATGTACATTATGTTAAAGCTGTAAAAGTACATGTACATGTATAAATGAATTAGGTTTTATTCATTACCCATTGCGTGATACAAAAGCTTGCCTGAGTCCCATCTTCCCAAATAACTCAACTACAGTTTTCATCGGAGTTTGATCTGATACTTGTATAGGGGCCTAAGAATAGGAGAAGATAGTAAGTAAATCACTTCTCCCCTTTTCTCCCTCCTCCTCCCCCTCTTACAGGGTCAATGGTTCCCCTAATGTTCACTGATGGTACGTCACTATCAACAACAGCTTCTTGGAGACGATGAGACTTATCTAAGAAGAACACCCTGGACTCCTCAGTGACGTCTTCATCTTTTCTAGCATCAATCAACTCTACAAAACAAATATTAATTTAAATTATTGATAATAAATTGATAATAATCATGTAACATATAATATTATTTTATTTTAATACCTAGTGATGTCATTATGTCTTTCCTTGTTAGAAATCCTTCTAGCAGCTGTGTCTCGTTACTCAATAGACACGGGTACCCAAAATAATTAGATTCTCTCACTAGCTTACGTAATGAACCTGAGACAAAAATAGACAAATAGAAGTCATAACAATTATTATTTTATTTTATCTATAGTACAATGATGTGGTCATTAGTACAACTCTCACTAGCTTATGTAAGATAAAGGTCATACATGTATTATGAGTGAGAACAATAACATAATGAATAATTATCATCATCATCATGAATAAAATATTCATAATGATGATGATGGGATTGTGGTGCCACACACACAAAGTGGCCCCACACATAATATGGGCGTGGCACATGAATACAATTAGCCTGCCCCCTAACACTCACTAATAGTGCAGGTGGATAGATCAATGGTTTCCAGTGGAGCGTCTCCTGGTTGAGGTTTCATGACGTCACATACGAGAGTATCATGAATAAAGTCCTCTTTACTGTCCAGGAATGGGAAACCGTTCAAATGAATATGACCATCATAACTGAACAGACACCATTAAGGAATAACTCATTATATGTGTGGGTGTGGGAAAATGAAAAATCACTTAAAAATTGCTAACCACCATTAATATAAATAATATTCTACATGTACATGTACATGTACATGTAATTTTCTCTTATTTTATTATTATTATTATATTAATAGATACATTCCGTCTTTAACAATGGCGTCTCCAACCCATTTACTGATCATCACAGCCACCATTATTGGTACTATGTAGCTCAGGCCTCCTGTCAACTCAAACATGATGACCACTAGAGATACTGTCATTCTAGTGACTCCACCCAGGGCAGCTGCTGCTCCTATCATGGCATACAGCCCAGGAGTGACACAGGCTTCATGAGGGGAACAGAATAATTTAAAGAACCAAGAATCCTTATATATACTGTAGGGGGAGGGGCAGTAATAATAATTAATAATAATAGTAATAGTAATGGTAATAATAAGTAAAAATTAAGTTTTCTTACAAAGCAATTTGTTCCATTCCTATTCCAATTACTCTTCCAACACACGCCCCCACAAACATTGAGGGGATGAATAAACCAGCTGGTACCTTTAAATTGAATTTTAAAATAAAATTTAAATTAAAATATTATAGAACCTTCATTCCGAATGTGAATATAGTGAGTATGGCCTTAGCAACCATCGCTAGGGAGAGGAGGAGCATTGCCTCATATACTTTAGAGGTGGCCTCATTGTCGTGATACTCATCCAACAGGTTGTAGGTATAGGAGCGATTGTATTCACTGGAAATGGGAAAAGACATGATGGTCTCTCTTTAAAAATTCATAAAAAATCCAAATTTGATTGGAATCAGCTCAAACTTTCTATGCAACATAAAAACATGTATATGTATCAGGAAATGTAATAAAAATGAAGAATTCTCTTCTTTTCATTTTTGGTGAAATTTGACCCATGACCCTGTACTATAGTACAGGGACTTTGGCCCGATTTTGGAGCAACTTTAAAAATTCATTAAAAAAATCCAAATTTAATTGGAATCAGCTCAAACTTTCTACGCAACATAAGAACATGTATATACATCAAAATAAGTTATAAAAATGGAGAATTATCTCCTCTCCATTTTTGGTGAAATTTGGCCCAAAGGAGACAACACTGTATGTACATGTACACATTAATCATAGTATCATACCACAGTAAGTCATTATTATCTTCAGGTCCACACTGAGAAAAAAGTTTCTTAATCACTTCACTAGCATTGTCCCTCGTGTATATATTTGGGTAAGAGATTATACCAGTTGCTACAGCAACAACAAGGACCTACAAATACATTTAAAAATGGCCGATGATCTAAAAACTACATGTAAGTACCTCAATTATCGGGAGAGGGAATTTCTTGAATTTATTTTTACGAATCTTCGACCAAACGAGATTACACTTGATAAAGAAAGCACCATATAGACCCTAGGAGAAGAAAGAGAGAGAGAGAGAGGGAGGGTAAATATAGTGAAGCTTTTAACTTTATTCTTTCTTACTCCTAATATTCCGAGAATTACAAAAGGGACAAACTCGAAAAGGTGCCAGGTGTGGTCATAGTTAATATAAAAGAGGGCAATCTTCCCTGAGAAGTAAGGATTCATCAGTTGGAGGGTGAAAGCAGCTGCTAGAGCAGCAAAAAAAGACCTCCACATCACTTTATGAGGGAAATAGTATGACACTTCCTCTAAACTGAAGAGGACTCCGCCCACTGGAGCACCAAAAGCTACAGATACACCAGCAGCAGCTGCTGCTGATAAAATCTCCCGTTTCTTTGCTTCGTTATTATAATACTTAGGAAATAACCTGTAAAATAAATAATTAATTAATTTTCTTATTAATTTAAGTCCCACCCACCTTGTGAATAGGTTACCACAGCAACAGGCGACATGTACTAGTGGCCCCTCCTTCCCAAGACTGAGCCCCGCCCCTACAGCTAGTACCATACCAGCAATCTTAACTATAAGAGTCCAAGCTCCTAAATACCCTCGAATCACGAAACCACTCAGTATAGTCTTAGCCTAAAAAATATACATATACATGTATGATAATAAAACAGTAATCTGTAATGCTATAAAATTTTGTGGATTTAGATTAAAATTTTTGTGGATTAGTTAGTCAAAAAAAGGTGTCAAGCATATAATTTTGATCAAATTTATAAAACTCAAATTTCTCTTACTTCTGGAATCCCTGATCCTGAAGCATAGGGAGCTAGTATGACGACAAACAAACCGGCCAAACCAGCAAATATGACGGAAAAAAGGACATAAATGAAATAATTAAAAGCATAACGGGCAGGGCCAGACGTGAAACTGAGAGTATCAGACCACTCCTGCCAGGCAGAGCAGCTCCCCTCCTCCGCATAAGATTGATTATTGAGCCAGCAGCACTGCTGGGCACCATAGTAACCACTGGAGGGACACATCCCCATTTTAAGATCACTGGTCCATATTGCAGCAACATCAATAACACCTGGAAAATATAATAATAATAATAATAATAATAATAATTATTATTATTATTACACAGCAGAAGAATAAACAAAATCCTACACTAAGACATACATTATTATTATTATTAAAATACAGTGAACATGCCCACATAGCAGCATTCCCCCTCCACAGAGTAATAGTAATAATAATAATAATAATAATATAATTATTATTAAATTTCCAACCTGCTAGTAATCCTGCAGCCACGCCCACCAGAAAGACTAGTATCCAGCCAGAGGCTGCATCAAGGTACTTATTAAAGAATGCCCCTATGCTGGTCCTCTTTCTATTCTCTATTAGTTTGTGTCGAAGGTGATCTTTGGTCTTATCTCGCAGCCAATCAATCGTATGGAAATCTTCGTAATATCTAAAATAAACAAACAAATAAATAAACAAATACATTGCTAGTAAACATGTATATAAGCTCTTAATTTACACATTTCTTTATCTTGTCTCATCTCTTATAGTAAACAGCATAATATTATGATATTAACATAAAAATCAAATTACAATCGCTCTATATATGGTAATAACTAATAATAGAATTCACAATGTCCACATTGACGTTACATAACAAATGAAAACGAATTGTACAACAAAACATGTCATACTAGCAATAGATGTACATGTACATTCCCATGTACATGTACAAGTATAAATACATTTATAAACCACGCCCAGTCCTAATTACCCAGGTACTTACTTTGGTACCATCCTATCGGCGACGATATCGTATTCAGAAACTGACGATATCCTCCCCCTCCTTCTCTGTGAGGGTTCTATTGTTTCTATGAGTTGATTGGGTAAGACCCGGTGACTTCTCTCTGTTACCCTCTCATCGTCTGTTGTCGCTACTGGAGACAATAAGGGATCATCAGAATCACTGTCATCTAGAGGGGGAGGGAGAGAGAGAGGGGGAACGTGTATATAATAATAGAAAATGAAAGTTGCACAATAATATCAGTATATGTAAGATATAGAGAAGGAATGGCGGGCTATAAGCATGCAGTATGAGGTATTTATACACTTGATGGACTGACCTGGAGTGTATTTTATGGATAAACGTGACATTTTAAAAGATTCTACAACTTTTCTTGTGCTTGAACCAGACACGCCCATCAGCAATTTCAACCTAAGCCACACCCACTACTAGATCTAGTTACTAGTTATAAATACAGCGGATTTAATAGTTATTAATTTTGCGCGTAAGAAATCTAATTCAAAATAATGGTAAAAATTAAATATTAAGTTCTAAACCACAGTTATCTTTAACTGCTTTCTTCCATTTCTTTTTTATCAAGTTCCCAGCATCAGATACTGGGCCTTCAACATTTGACAAAGCTTTAAAAAACTTTCCAGAATGTTCCTCAATATCTTCGATGTCCTCTTTTAAATTTATTCCGCTAAGAAAAGATCCAATCATCGCTTCATAAGTTGGGTTCTTCTGTACAGGTTTTCCTATGATATTAACTGCATTTAATTGTCTAGCAATTTCGTTCAGTGTCTCATCTGTTTCAGTGAAGATGCCATGAATTTTAACTTGATTCTCTCTGAGGACCTTGTCAAGCTCTTTCTTCACACGCTCAACAGCTGGACAAAAAAATTAAAATACATTTAAAAAAAGACAATTACTTTCTGCTGTCACTGTAACAGCTACCCCACCACCACCAGAACCAGTAGAAGCTCCTATAGTATACATAGTCGACCATTAAACCATTACACCAGTGTACGATGTAAATACCTTGAGTCGTACCATTTGTCTCTCCCAATATTTTAGAAGCTACGTGCTTCAATCCCATCTCTTTTATAGCAGCTGCCAATTTCTCCATTGAAGGTTTCCCATACTTATCGACCTCATAGTTCCACCTCAACCAGTGAGCTAGACAGGCTCTAAGACGTGCTTTGGCATTCAGAGGATTATCGGCTCCAACTGCATCAAGTTTGGGCTGACTAATGTGTAGTTTAAGACCTAGCTCAACCCATCTGTGCTCAGCAAATTCATACTTCTCCAAGGTACTGATAACATCACCAAGATCTGTAATACCTAAGTTATTGATCATAAACTAGATAGATTTAAAATGCTTTTAGATTTACTAACTTAACTCTGCAGCCATTTTTCTCTTGAAAGAGGAGGAAACAGTTGATGTGCATTCCACAGGTGTGGTATGATGACCACTGTAATCTGATAGTAGTTTCATTTAGATAGCAGCAACCATAAATGAATGCACTTCTATATTAAAATAAAAATAGTTATTAATTCTAGTTAAGTAACTATTAATCTACTGCCACACCCACTTTCTGCGCCGCCCCGCCATTTTTTCAGGAGTTCAGAACTTACAGCAGCAGCTGAAGGAAAGGTTGTAAGGTTTTTGGAAGCTCTTAGGCCATGCCTCGACAAAGAAAGCAACGAGGAGCTGGCTCTAGTGCTTTACCATTTAAAGAAATAACGGCCAAACTCGCTAACGAGGAGCTTATCAAGAGATTAAAAGTGGATGCCTGCATTTGGTGTAGATATTAATTTTATAGTAACTGTTTTACTCAGGATTGTTTGAATTATCTTGAAGATATCGATGAAGTGGTGGATGGGACGAACGATGAATTGATCACTCTCTCGCTGGACCTCCTTTCTCCCTCAATCCTCAATAAAACTGATGAAACACGTTCACTTGTGGCTCTAGTACTCGCTAACCTCTACAGACTGTTCTTACTTGATATTCCACACAACGAGAAGCAGAAGAAAGTATGTCACTCTTAATTTAATACAGTTGTAAATTTTTGTGCGATTACCCGTAAAATTTTGTGGATTGATATGCCTACATGTACATGTACATGTACTTAGAATCGATAATTTTTTACAAATAAATCCACAAATTGCAACTCTCCTCTCAATTTCAATAAACTGCAATGTAACCGTATTTATTACTTTTTAAAGCACATAATACATGTACATGTACTTGGTTTTCAATGTTAATCAATCAATTAATTAATTAATTAATTATTAATTAATGTCACTCTAATATTATTAATACACACTCTCTCTCTCCTCCCCCTCCCCTCCTCCTCCAGTCTGTATTCAGGTTGTTCATTTCTTCATTTGATTCTCTCAAGAAGTCCTCTGACTCACTTTACAAACAAACTTACTCTCTTTTAGAGGTGTGGCTTGTTACCATAACAACACACATGTATCCTCTTCTTTCTCAGATACTATCAGTACTGTCGTTATTCAACATGTGCTTGAAGTTTGACGATCAAGACATCCTCGTTGAGCTATTCAAGAAGATACAAGAAATAATCAGATACATGTACGTGTACATATAATGTGAATCTTAATTTTATTATTTCTTCCTTCTCTATAGTCCTGACCAGGCACATCAGGTGGAGCAGTTTCTGTTGAAAATTATGTTCTCTGTCTTACAAGAGGCTAGCCACTTATCAGATCAACTGCTGGATACAGTATTACTGCCTTTAATAGAACCACATAAAGTAAAGAAAAGAGAATTAATATATTTATTTATTTATTTATTATTGTTAAATTTGTTGTTGTTTATTATAGTCGGATGAGCCTTTGGTGTATTCGTTCATTTGTAAACTGATCCAGAAATCAAGTCAATATTTGGAACCGTTTCTACGACATGTAATAACGAATATATTTCATTATCATACTCATCTATATTATCTTCTCTCTCTCTCTCTCTCTCTCTCTCTCTCTCTCTCTCCCTCTCTCAGTTCTTCAATGGTATACTAGTGAATGGTGAGGAGTCTGACAGTGCAGTGGCTGATTCATTATATGAACTAATCCCTCAGTTATATTCCATTGATAATTATTTATTATTATTAATACTACCACAGCTGGAATGGAAACTGCAAGTATGCAATATCATGTACATTTTATTAAGTAACCCCCTCTCTCCCTCCCCCTCTCTCTTCTCTCCTAGTCAGTTGATGTTGAGGTGAGGTCAAAGGTCACTCAGTTGTTGGGTCCCATGTTCTCAGCCCCTGGGTCTAAACTATCCACTGAGAACAGTCAGCTCTTTCACTCCTACCTGGGAAGGTACTGCCTACTATAGCACATGTACTGTAAATGTATTGTACATCTTCTTTTAATTCTTTTGTGCAGGTGTCAGGATTTCAGTCCCAGCATTCGTTTGGAGGTTGTTAAAGAGTGTAAGTCACTGCTGCTAAACCATCCACACTTGAGGGATGAGCTCACAGGTTAGCCACACCCCTTAATTAATATTGGCCACACCCATCAATAATTACGCCCTTCATTAGAGAAACTATTGCCAAGAGTGGTGGATCAGGATGAGAAGGTTCGAATGGAAGTTGTCAAGTCGATTTTGGACGCAGCAACTGAAGATCTAACTTGCATTGATGAAAGGGTAATTAATATTCATTACTATTATTATTAATTATTATTATTATTAGTTGCTTGACTCGTTGCAGCACAGAATGAGAGATAAAAAGGTTAGAGACATCATGTGACTATCACATGATCATAATTATTCTAATTAGTGGCCGGTTAGAAAATATACGATGATGTCACTAGTTAAGTTATACAAAAACAATTTGAGGTAAAATATTATTAACTATAGTATTATTATTATTGTTGTTATTGTTGTTGTTGTTATTATTATTATTATTATTATTATTATTATTATTATTATTATTCAGTAATGAGAGATTACAGTGGATACCACGTAAACTACTACATTCCTTCCATCAACCGTTCCAAGACGACAAGTATTAATAAATATTAATTAATTAATTACCATAAGCTCCACCCCTCATTAATAGAATATGCATAACGAGGTGCTTGAATAGTTGTATTATACCAGCTGGTGCCGAGATTAATGAGAAGATTGATAGACTCCTCCATATTTGTTATACTAATGATGAGTCAGCTAATAGGTAAGAATAATAATAATAATAATAATAATAATAATAATAATAATAATAATAATAATAATAATAATAATAATATTCTATTCCTGTAGGAGCCTTATTGACATTCTGAATACTCAAAAAACGTAAACATTTTGTTATTTGTTTATTATTTTGTTGTTGTTTTTAGAATAAGAGAACACTTGCTTTCAATAGTCAGTGCAACAGACGAGGAGAATGAAATTAGTGTAATAATAATTAAATATTTATTTATTATTATTAATTAATTAATTATTAATAGGACGAAGAAAGGAAGAAAATAGTAGCAGTGAAATCAGCTGCGATTGCTGGTAAATAATGGCTGGTTGTCGCTTAACACTGGTTCTTATAATATTAGGATGTTTACCAGACCCCCTGAAGACTCAGGCCAGTCTAAGGGAGTTACCTAGTGATGAAGTATTGATGAAGAAACTAGCTGATAGTATTGATGTGACTAAAGATCATCAGAGCCTCACTAAAGCAAAGGTACATAGTTATAGGCCCTGCAATAGAAACTGTACTATGATACTCAACTGTATATACATGTACACGTGCATGTATATGAATCATTTGAACTTTTCATAATTTTAAATGGCTGTAACTTGAAAAATTGAAGTCGGAATCGGCTCAAACTTTCTACACAGCATAAGTACATCAATATGTATCAGAAAATCTAATAAAAATTGGGGGTGATTTTGGAGCCATTTTTTGAAAAAAACCATGGGCTATAGTACAGGGATTTTTTTAGATTTTGGCCAATTTCTTAAAATGGCCATAACTTGAAAAATTGAAGTCGGAATTGACTCAAACTTTCTACGTAGCATAATTACATCAATATGTATCAAAAAATGTAATAAAAATTGGTGGTGATTTTGGAGCCATTTTTTGGAAAAAACCATGGGCTATAGTACAGGGTATTTTTCAGATTTTGGCCCATTTCTTAAAATGGCCATAACTTGAAAAATTGAAGTCGGAATTGACTCAAACTTTCTACGTAGCATAATTACATCAATATGTATCAGAAAATGTAATAAAAATTGGGGGTGATTTTGGAGCCATTTTTTGGAAAAAACCATGGGCTATATAGTACAGGGTATTTTTCAGATTTTGGCCCATTTCTTAAAATGGCCATAACTCGAAAAATTGAAGTCGGAATCCGCTCAAACTTTCTACACAGCATAAGTACATCAATATGTATCAGAAAATGTATAAAAATGGGGGGTGATTTCAGAGCCATTTTTTGGAAAAAAAACCATGGGCTATAGTAGAGGGTATTTTTCAGATTTTGGCCCATTTTTCAAATGGCCGTAACTTGAAAAATTGAAGTCGGAATCGACTCAAACTTTCTACACAGCATAAGTACATCAATATGTATCAGAAAATGTAATAAAAATTGGGGGTAATTTTGGAGCCATTTTTTGGAAAAAACCATGGGCTATATGGTCGTAACTTTAAAAATTGAAGTTGGAATTGACTCCAACTTTCTACATAGCATAAGGACATCAATATGTATCAGAAAATGTAATAAAAATTGGGAGTGATTTCGGAGCCATTTTTTGGAAAAAACCATGGGCTATATGGTCGTAACTTTAAAAATTGAAGTTGGAATTGACTCCAACTTTCTACATAGCATAAGGACATCAATATGTATCAGAAAATGTAATAAAAATTGGGAGTGATTTCGGAGCCATTTTTTGGAAAAAAACCATGAGTTATAGTACAGGGATTTTTCCAGAAAATGGCTCATTTTAAAAATAGCTGTAATGAGCATTTTGTTAATACTTATCCTCCTCTATAGACTGAAGTATATTTACATGTATCTGATAACCAACCTCTTGTTGAACTCTTGAAGATGTTGCATGATGTTTCATCACCAGTCCTCATTAACAGAGACTGTGCAGTAGCTCTCTCTAACAGAATCTACAAGGAGATGAGTAATCCTTCATTACTGCAGTCTGAGGAGGATGAGTTAGAGGAGCAGGAGAAATGCAAGAAAGGACTACAATTATTGAAAGTATGTGGGTGTGGTTTAGTATTATTAGTGGGTGTGGTTAGGTGCTATCTGGTATTGAGAGGGCGTGGTTTCATGACGAAGAACTGTTGCAGAATGTAATGTCTTTATTAAGACATAAGGACAATGAAATAGGTTAGTAAATACATGTACATGTAGATGTGTTTTAATTTCTTCATTTTAGTACAAAATTCACTGCTAATTCTTCATAATATTGGTTCAGTTATTAATGACACTTTTACTAGCATATCAAGGTACCTGTATACAATATGTATATTATTTATTAACTCTTTTGTCACTCCATTTCTTAGTGTTCTCTCTCCGTTATTATTCCAGTTAGCTTGTAAAAGTTCACCCAAATCTGCCAAGTTAGCAGTACAATGTCTCATCTCTATTTATCCAAACAACAAGAGTAATTTCGAAAGGCTTTATGAGGTATCCACCCACTCATTTAATTAATTATTAATGTATTGTGTTATAGATGCTAGTAGATGGGTTGGATTTAGGATCAGTTCATCTCGAATCAGTGTTAAAATCACTGAGCGTGTTAGCGGAAAACAGACACCCCATCTTTGAGAAGCACAGGAATGACGTAATCGTGAGATTTGCAGTTAAAAAGATCCTTGAGCAGGTGGGTTCGGTCAGTAGGTGTGGTCTAATGCCATTATTAATAGGAGGTTGATGAAGATGAGATTGAAGAGGAGGAAAGTGAAGTTTTGAACTTATGGTCTCCCGACTCTGACCTATCAGTGGACACTAGACTAAGGGTAATCTATTAATAGTACCTTATTCTATTAATAATAGTAGTATTTTATTAATAGTATCAGTAATCTATTAATAGTAACAGTATTCTATTAATAATAGTAGTAGTATTCTATTAATAGTATCAGTAATCTATTAATAGTAACAGTATTCTATTTATAGTAACAGTGTTCTGTTAATAGTTACAGTGTTCTATTAATAGTAACAGTGTTCTATTAATAGTATCAGTAATCTATTAATAGTAACAGTATTCTATTTGTAGTAACAGTGTTCTGTTAATAGTAACAGTGTTCTGTTAATAGTAACAGTGTTTTATTAATAGTAAGAGTATTTTATTAATAGTAACAGTGTTCTATTAATAGTAAAAGTGTTCTATTAATAGTAACAGTGTTCTATTAATAGTTACAGTGTTCTATTAATAGTAACAGTGTTCTATTGATAGTTACAGTATTTTATTAATAGTAACAGTATTTTATTAATAGTGACAGTATTTTATTAATAGTAACAGTGTTCTATTAATAGTAAAAGTATTCTATTAATAGTAACAGTGTTCTATTAATAGTTACAGTGTTCTATTAATGGTAACAGTGTTCTATTAATAGTAACAGTGTTCTATTAATAGTAAAAGTGTTCTATTAATAGTAACAGTGTTCTATTAATAGTTACAGTGTTCTATTAATAGTAAAAGTGTTCTATTAATAGTAACAGTGTTCTATTAATAGTTACAGTGTTCTATTAATAGTAACAGTGTTCTATTGATAGTTACAGTATTTTATTAATAGTAACAGTATTTTATTAATAGTAACAGTGTTCTATTAATAGTTACATATTCTATTAATAGTACCTTATTCTATTAATAGATTGCTTCAATGAAGTTATTAGTGTCTTGGATTGTTGG